TTATTCAGAGTTCAACACGCAATAACACGCCGTCTTTTTCCACAAATAAAAATATGTGAGAAAACCTGATCTATGCAAGCATATGTATTTGTCACCCCTTGTACAAAAACGTATGAATTGACCAGATAAACGTCAAGAATCATAACCTTTGACCTTTTCAGTTATTTCTCGTTGGAACATGTCACTGAGCAAACGGGAGCAAAACTGCAGTGTAAATATTTGCATTAGAGTACACTTTTCAAATTATATTGGTTGTCTGTATTGACGAAAGTTCAAGGTGAGGCTGACAACGGCGCTATGAAGCAGCTCTTATTGTTTCGGAATTCTACGAGGACAGACAGCGATGTGAATCAAAGTTATAAGTAAATATAAACGGGGGAGTCAATGATTAAAAGTATAAAATATTATTCAATAATTATACATGATTATGCTGATGTTGGATATGAAATATTTATCATGTTTCCACTCAAATATGCAGGGATATTGCTATCAACATTCCATTTCAATAAGTATCTGCAGATAACTTTTCTGACAATTCTGCTTGGACCCCGCCAATGCTGCTTGCAGCTTTAATTTGTTTTATTACCATTAACAATGTCAAACATGTATGCCTGACCCAGGCTCGTGCGATGTTACTTGACACAATTAAGGGATTACTAGTTATGCTTTCACAGAGTGATATATGCGTTATAATCAGTACTTGTGTTTCACATTGTATTACTGCACTACTGACAATGTAAACATTAATATTGAAAACATTCTCTTTTTTATTCATACAATTAGTTTTCGTATTTTATTTGATTTTATCTTCAAGAAGATATAACTGCGCTTATCTGGGTAGAAAGCAGTTTTTTGAAAAAAAATATTCATATATACAGTACATATTCGATTACAGACACTGTAGGCTACTGAATTCACTGATTATTGATTGTTGTCACGCGCTGATGACAGACCTTTCGCCCACGCTGTCTGGGGTTTCCGAAATTGCCACTATTGTACACATAGACAACGAGGACTTGTGTCATAGGTCATTATATTAAATATTACGTCATGCTATATCCTCTCAAAACGAGTTATTATTCAAATAAGAAGTACATATGGATATCATTTTATTGGTCATTGAATAAAAACACGTCATTATTTTAATACATCTCTACTAAAATATATTGTGTTTTATCACAGATCGACATATCGCTGTTATCTACTGAAGTACCAAGATCTGAACGCAATCTTAGCCACCCGAGTGTTCACTGCAGTCAGGTACGTGTAAATTATAAATAACTCTATATGTGAATAATTGTATATATTTATACAAATACATGTTAATTTAAATACATTCAATCCGCGGACGTTTGGTGTTTGTAGTGATATTTAAGTTTGGCACACAAACAATATTTCACGGTCGTACTGTATTGTAATATTACATTTCTGTCTATGCGCTCTTTTTCCGGGCATCGTTTCTAAGCTCTCAGTAATCTGGAATTATTATTTTTGTTTCAAATATCTACTATTTATTTACAATGCGTATTTTTAATTGTACATTTGACGGTTTTTATTTCGGACAGATATTAAACATCTTTTCGATAGCCGAATAGAAAACAATTTAGGCCTAATGGTTAATCAATCTTAGTCACACTTTCAATACTCTTCATGAACTGCCATTTATTCTACCGTTCATGCAGTATTTTTTGTCATTATCTATTACCTAATTTTATTTAATAGATATCGAATGTTTGTGCAAGCTAGGTTCGACTCAAATGAATACACATATGAAGCAATCACATATTGACCATTTTTTTTTACTGGTCAGCCGGACACCAATGGGCCAGGCTTCCAAATTCTGGTCTCTAATTCCCGAACTGTCCAACTCCAATTACAATTGCTTATAGTTATGTTATGTACATCAGATTTGTTGTATGTTATTCATCGATAGACCCAAGCCATTACGGATGACGTAGTCGATGTGTCCCGACTATCTAGGGTAAATGCAAATTATAACTACAGTATGTTTGTAAACATAATATTTGTTTACAATTTGGTAGGATATATGCCCCTTGTATGCCTGTTTTTGATGATTCATTGCTTAATGGTGTGAACGTGGGAAAGTAATATGCATGTGATTCACTATATCATTATGGTGACATAGCCTTGTTATTCCTGACTTTTGATGCGAAACCTCGACGATTATGGTATTTGTTTACCTTAACTGATTTGTCTACCTACTCTTGTTATATGGGAAATTGTTGATAATTTCTTGATTCAAGCGTTTTATGTTTTTCATATGAAAATTTCTGCTTACAACTCTTCGAAGGGAGGTTTCTAATATAATACAATCTAAATTCTTCTTTAGCCCTACTAAAGTTCCTCAGTGTTTGGTACTAAGCTCCATATTTTGTTGGTTTTTGTGAGCTCTCGTATAATTGGTCAATGGACAGCTCTACTGGTACTGTATTTTACTCGCTGTTAATTTGGACCCTGTGGACAAGAGTTTTACTCCCGGGATACGTCTAAAGGACTGTGGGAGAGTTATGACGAGCCCTTGAAAACTTCCCGCCATTTTAAAACAAAGCTGACTAATTCAATAAAAAGTGTCATGGCGCACCAAGCCACAAAGGGCTGATGAATAGTAATGTTTAAGGCATTCCGATTGGCCTAGAAAGTTCTCATTCTTTGTTCTATTTCCTTTAGTTACATGACGTCAGCGTTTTCGCTCGCGGTCGTTCAATATATAAATCAGGGTTTTCCTATTTGTCTCGTGAATATAAAAGTGTTTATTTTGTTACACACATAGCGAGAAACACCAGAACTATCTCAACTAGGAGGTCCAAGCAGGCAAAGTGAAATAGGCATGAATTTATGGCAGTATTACAGACACGTTTTCAAGTTACGCCATGTGGTCACGTGCCTTTGGACAGGAATCCTGGCCAAGTTGGACAATATGGCGATTACTAGTTACAAGCGTTCTACTTGTCATTTGCATGAAACGCTGGGAACCAGCGAATGCTTCACACCTCCTCCTACAGGCAGCATCAGCACCTAATGCCGCTCGCTCGACAGGAGATCGGTGTTAAAAAGTCATCCTTTGTTTGTGAGCCAAATAAAAACATTCTAAAAATAATATAATACCCAAAAGATTGACTCAGGAGAAAAAAGTCGCCCGGATGTAACGTTCGGTCAATGATATAATATTACTGATTGGAACTGAATGAATAGTAACGAATTTCACATAACCAATTGTTGTTGTTGTTTTGTTTCGCTTTTTCCAATTTTGATATGTCGTCTTATATAAAAGCGTTTGACAGGTCGTATTTCTGTTTATTCCAACCGTATGTTCAGTGTTGATTTCATCTTAACTTTCGCTCGATTTTCCAACCGCTTGTTGAATTCGACCGGACGATTTCCGCTTTTTTTTCAACCGTACAAACCTGGAAATATCACCCGCTCGCTTGCATTTTGAATTTGTGGCTTTGGCATTGTTATATTTTGGGAAACACATCAATATTTTCTTCGTTTCTCCTCTCTAATGGGTTAGCATTGCCTTTATCATGTATCTGTTTCGATAATCATTGTTGAAACGAGGGAGCAGCCTTGAATTCAAATGAGAGAGTCCCGTTCCATCGGCATGTTGAACAAGAATGTGGATCCCTTTCACGCAATCAACTTCAGGGATATATTGTCTTTAATGCATATTTCCAGAACTTAAGCATGCATTACGTACATATGAATAATTGAAAAAAATACACAAACGAAAATTACTTTACAGTATTTGAGTGATTCAAAAATAAAAAAATAAATATCCAAACATAAGAGTATAAAATTCACAAAGAAAGCATAAAGTTTACATATACCAGTGGCATATATGAACATGAACTTTAGTTGCATCAGGAAAGAAAATAATAACACATTTTTTTTCACCAAAACACAGATTACCGATGAGATGCTTTGGCTAAGGTAAATGTACAATTTTAACACATTCGAAATTACATGGCTGCTCGTAACTTATACATGAAACTGTATAAATTTGAAAATGAATCGCCAACGGAAACGGTATGGGCCAAGCTAACATGGTCACAGGTCTAAAATACACAATACAGTCAACTTCTCACTCCAAATATCATAGCAGAGACTGTTGAATAATGAATCTGTAGATACCAACGTGTTCTACTTGACACACGACCTTTTGATTCTAGAAAACAAAGGCTGGCTGTAAAAGGTCAGGTCAAACAAACGCAACTCGCAAGTCGCCAAGGAGAACGCTATATCGCAAGACGACTACGGGCAATTAGGCCTGAACAAAGTTCAAGTTGCGTTCCCGAACGTTACAAAATATCATAGATTGGAAGTGTCGATCAGAATTTAATAATAGGTAATGCTCGTGGTATCCTGCAACTTCACTATTAAAACAACAGTCGTGTACGGTCGCTGTTTTAAATATGCGAGAGAGGATATAATTTCAATAAAGATGTGGTTCCCTGTCGTAAAAGACCGCGAGGCCGGAAATTAAGCGATAATTAGTTAAATAAATAGCAATAAAAGCTGACGATTGGGCGATATGAGTACCGTAGCCCGTCTATAGCTTGACAAACGTCGCCAAGTGAAGACATGATAGAAAGAGTTGCTAGTACACGCGGAGAGGGAGCTCATAAAGAGAACGGCCAATACCCCTTTACGAGAAAAACGTGAAATCGCAACGGATTTTTTTCGTTCTTATATGCAATCATAGGTTTTGAGAGAAGCTGAGTCCACAAAAGAAAACAAAATTACCTAAAAAGTTTGCGTTAGAAACATACCTATGCATAATTTGATTTGCAAGTACATTTTAAACACCTTAACTATTATATTGACATTGGTTGTTAATCCTATGGATTTGGTGACTGATAAGCAGTGCATTATGTGCACTATGCATTATGTTTTCGACACGAATTAAAAATCAGTTGTAAGCTTATGTTTGTAATTAGCCATTATTAACTGCATATATCTATTAAAAGGTAATTTTAGTAAGCACTTTTACTATTTATTTATTATCTGAAATTTATTATTTCAGTTTATATTTCACAATCTTTCCAACCGAAGAAAAAATATTGTAAATTCTAGGGCAGTTACATACATATATCATTCAGATTATGCAACTCCATATCCAAGAATACAACACCAGATATTATTTTGCTTTATTTGTTTTATTTTGTAAATTTTATGAAAATAAAAAAAACGACAATTTATGATATAGTCAAGAAACTATGTATGTCTGAGAATAAATAGTGTAACTACGTTATTATTGTTTGTGTAATTGTTCGTCAATATTCATTAGCAAGTAAATAATTTGCGTAAATTGTTATCTTTGACTGTTCATCATTGTTTTTCAGAATGTTCACTCTGAGCATGCAACGCCGAAGTTTAAATGATTTGCACATGGCTCCCTACCTCTCACTACCAGTCTTTTTATTTTTTATTTGTTCTAAAATCGGATTTCATTTCGGGATTTGGCTAAATAGGCTTTACTCCTACTTCGCCATGGCATGAAAAAGTTTAGTAACAATTTTAAACCTAAACCCGGTGACATGTCTTTGCATAAACAAGAAATATGCATTTGAAAGAATCTAACAACAGCAAGTAATGTTATTTGTTTAATTGACAATTTTATATGTTGATTTTCAGATCAAGAATGTGGAGGTATATTTTCTTCTACATTAGCATATGCTTATTTGTCAGCGAAACCCTGACGTTAAATGTTGAGAAGGTAAGAGATATCATGAACTGGAATACTTTTAAGCCTGTCTCTGAAGGGCTCATTATTATGATCCTTCTGTCAGTCCCTAGTATTTATTAGATCTGGTTACAAATTATTTAGCATTATGTGATACGACTCCATGACAATATACATCTGTTTTGTTGACTGTGAATCCAATTACTGTTCAAATATTCTTTGAAGAAATAATTAACTTACGTCTATTTTTTTCAGTCGAGCCACGACCGAAATTTGCGCCATGGTAAGTCCAGTGACATGACCATTCCTTCTAAACTTAATACATAATAAGCTTTCCATATATTACATATCCCCCTATCTATAAATATGAAATATATATGAAGTATAATATATATTGACATTTTAAACAGTGAATGAAGGCAAGAAATGTGAGGACGGAGACAAAAATGAAGGTGTTTGCAAAGATGACAGAGATATTGATTTTGATGACTATGGATTTGAAAAAGGTTGTTATCACCCTGACAAACCATGCTGGCTTTTTAACTATTGTGAAGGACACATGCATTGTTATATCATATTTGAAAAAGAAGATGGTACACGTTTAGGTACGCTCATATTTTTTATCAGCACTTAAGGTGACTATTTGTATAATGAACTTCGACAGTCTTACTGCTAACAAGTTGCTCCATGAATTTGAGCTTTGTAATACACTCTTTCTATAATTATTATAATTATGTGACACAATAAACTGTAGTTAATGAGTATATTATTGACATTAGTGCTGCATGTAATATATTAGATCAATTGTGACGTAAGGACGGTAAGTTTCATATCAATGTGATAGTAAGTTTGAAAGATTACACGCCCTGTATACTTTTCTTAGGAGCTGATCAAATCAGCGTTTTCGGCCCGGTCAGCTCAAAGATATTCTTGCATAAATTTGTATATCGTGCGGTGCTCCGCGGATCTATCCAAAGCACAAAGCAGCTCCTTGGAGCTTGGCGGTTTGGCCGGTAACCGCTGTTTTTTTTAGCACTTCCCTTAGTGTAGCGAGTACAGCCAGCTTGAATAAACGCGATAAATTTGATATCTACGCATTATTTGGCTGACACATTCATTATGTATCAGAAGAGAATATTATACGGATTACATGTAATAATATAATCCATATATGCAAACAGAGCAAATATCTGTGATTTATGTTACTTTGTTTTATTGTTACTGCAGATGAGGCATGTCTAAGCATTGGAGGACATTGTGTGAAACCGGGAACAAGATTCGATGGGATACTTAGAAAAAACCTTTGCCCGTGTGATTATGACTGCTATCTTCAAGTCGGTATGTACAGATTACATTCAAATTCTCAATTTTAATTTTATATTGGAATCTGATGCTTTCCATCCTTTAATAATATAAGATACCATATTTTTGTTTAACGATTTGATAATTAAACTTATTAAAAAAACATATTTGTCTTATTATTATAGCCCTTATACTGCACAATCAATTTATCTGATCTTAGAATATATGATCATTAATAACGATTGTATTGACAATTATAGCTGTTTTTCAATAGGCAAGTTTACTAGCAATTTGTAAATTCACAAATCATATTGGTAGTTGCAGTTTTGAAATTTAAATAATCGCAAAGTAGTAGACAGATAATATATTCAATTTGTGTAAGTATATAGTAATGTAATGTATTTCAAAGAGAATTAGAAGTTGGTGAGGTGTACCTATCCGATAATGTATTAATTATTATTTTCGTTTAATTCAGCTGATGAATTGTGTGTGTCGCCAAATCACTGTCAACACATAGACGCCCCTTGCGGAGGAACTAAAAATAGTGCTCTATGCGATGGTGAAGATTTCGTTTGCTGTGTTAGTCATACTAGTAAGTGCTATTGTTTTGTTTGCATTATCTATGCCGACGGAAAAACGAATAGCAAATCACAGATTTCACAGATAATAAAAATGTCACAGATCATTGACAGCACAAGCATTACGATGACAAAAAATAACCCACAACAAAATAAGTTGACGAAGTATCATTCGAATTAAATCCATCCTGCCTCTCCTATTCATTGTTCTGTAATCAACAGATGACGGCAAGTGTACCAATGAACCCCCAACTGGTGTTAAGGGAACATGTAAAGACAACACCGAAGAATGTGATGGTTGGTACGTAACAGACAGATGTTCCGGTCCTGCTGGCAGACAGTGCTGTGTCCCTTCTGGAAGTAAACAGATTCATTTAATTACTTTAATAATATGTGTTTTAAAAATCATATTTTTTTTTCAAAAAAGTAGCTTTTGCTATATAAGCTTATTCAAACAAGCTTTCAACTAGTTTTCTGAAAAAAAACTGTTCACAATAGACAAATGATGATGCAAAAAGAATACGTGAATATAAACTGAAAAGTTTGTTAAGTCATCATTGTGAGTCTCAGCGAAATACATTGGTATCATTGTTAGATGACGTGGATTGCACTTCAATACCTAATGCTCAGTGTATGGATATCAGAAAAGAACCTTGTGAAAATGAGGAAGGTGAAGAGGGTGATTACAGATCCGGATTATGTTCAGGACCCGCATATAGACAGTGCTGCATACTCGGGTATGTGTGGTTTAAACCCTTTGTAATTCGATATTATGATTTAATTAATTTATTTATTTAAATAATTTAATTGTAATTAATATTTCGAAGCATTCCGGCTCGCCTTATGACAACGATTATTCTATTGTCGATAAACACTGTTTCATTGACCGAAAAACATCAACATTAAAGAAGCGAACTGCCTGATCTGTGCACCCCAGTGGGAGGGGGGGGGGGGTGTTTACTCCAAGTCAGTACTGGTACTGATGCTGAAGTACAGCTTTTCAAAAAAGCCTCTAAACACATACTTATTCTTGTGAAATCATGTTAATTTCATCTGCAGATACATAAAATATATAACCTGTATACATGCTAAAATCATACTGTTTCAAAGTTGAAGTAAAATAATTTCATGAGATTCCCTTTTTCACACTTTATTACTATTTTCTAAGTTACGATAGGCACACACGAATACGCGTCAAATAACTGAATAACCCCTTTTTACGTTTTTTTTACTTCAAATGCCTACTAACTACTGCGCGTTAGATTGCAATGCAATTATTTTAAATAAAGAACTATGCATAAGTAAATTTAATATTACTCAATGCCACACTACGAGAAACAATTTTAATTTCAAACAATTGCGTGCAGATGTACCTTCATTACAAACTTAATAATTTATTAATAGTTACACTTTTCAGGTGTCCGGATCACTATAAAGGTGTGTATATAATTTGATTACAAATTCACACATTTACACATTCCCAAACACTTAGTATGAAGAAAAAAAATTGTTTAGATTAATGTTAACTACAATTGGTTATTGAATTGTAAAACATTTTTTTACGTTACTCACCTGTGTCGTCACGTTTTTCGTCGCGTTACTAACAGTTATCATTGTTTTTCAGGCCTTAATAATGAGGACATATCAACAGATTGTCATTTGAACTACGGGTGCTGCAGACCTTTTTGTATAGATGGAGAAATACAAATCGATTTTTCATGCCAAACTAAGGACAGAGATGGCAATCTAATCACATCAAACTGTGTGTGTTGTAAAGGTAAGTTGTTTGAGTACAAAACCAATAACTGCATGCACCTCATAACAGTGGATAAACAGGTCAAATCAAGTGTTTCAAAGACATATTGCTAGGGTGTGCACAATGGTGTACTAAACACATTAATGTCTTCCATTTGGTGACCAAATGTTTGTTTTAGTTATTTACTTTACTGAAATGAAGTGATTGAGAATTTTTCAGTACAATTTTTTCTACCTTTTTCCGATCACCACTTGCCATTCCAACTGACCTTGCCAATGTTTTATTTACAGGGGACAGACCAGTTTCAGCAAAACGTAAGATCTGAATAAAATGTTTTGTTTTCGATGATAAATGTTTCAGCAACATGCATTTTAATTTTCAAATAATGTTTGCAACTTTAACTGGAAACGAAAAATTGATAGTATTGATTATGTACGTCCTACTGACATATTCTTCTTTTTCTTTCCAACTTATTATAATACATGATAACACATTATGACATGATATATAGAACATTTAACAAAACTAATACAATATAAATTAAACATGAATACAAACTAGGCCATATTTAATGCTTTGATATTAGCTATAATATTGGGCAATAAACATTACATATGACCTTTCATAAATTTGAATAAAGTAGTATTTTACATATTTATTTATTGCTGCCTATTACAATTTAAAGTCACATTTGCTCAATACACGCACATGATGTTGTCTACACTTCGTTGAAATTTAGCACAAAAGGTGACCAGTGAAGAAAATATAGATAAATGATGTAATTATTATATAGATGTTTTATGTATAATAGATCTACAAATGTATCTTTTTTCTTGTAGCTGGAGGAGGAGGTGATCCACATTATAAAACACTTGACAGTCATACGTATACTTTCGATGGCCACTGTTCTTACATATTGATGAGAGAGTGCAGTAACTATTTGGGAACTCCTCGTTTTACTGTCATCGCTAAACATGATTAAATGGAAAGTTTAAGAAGAAAATTAAAAGCGTATATTGACAGCATATCGATCATCATGGGAACATTCCGGGCTGATCTACTGCACGGCAATTTAGTTTCCGTAAGTTCATTTTTGTTGATACACGTGACCCGACTTTTAATTTCTATGTAATAAACACTTATTAAACGCAAAAATAATATATAAATATATGTATTATATTTTTACAGATCAATAATCGACCTGCAATTCATATTCATGATTTGAGAGAATGGAACGATACAGATAAAGGCATCTATATAACACCAGATCAGGGTATGACTAAAGTAGACGTTGCTGGAGAATTCACCGTATGGTTTAATGGTAATGGACGTTGTGAGGTAGCCATTGATACACAGTATCACGGGAAAGTGTGTGGGTTACTTGGCAACGCAAATGACGATCCTTATGATGATTTACAGAAACTTACATCCGATGGATTGAAATTGGTCACTGATGTAAATGAATTTGCTAATAGTTGGGCTGTGCCAAAGAGGTGAGTACTCACGAATACGACCACACTATTGCCGCGGTATCAAACATTCAGTGATTTTGCCTAAAATAAGAGAGCCACAAACGTTATTATTCATTTTAAATAGTGTTCCATAATTTCAGTCGCCACAGTACTACTATTATAAGTGAAATTGTATTCAAAACAGCAGATGCTATTTTGGCACAATATTACTTTTTGGAAAACTATTGTAAAAACAAAACATGGGCGGCTATTTGCGTCTATAATTTGGTTTACATGGAATTGTTTCCAAGGTCTCAGACATATGAATATTGTTTTACTTCACAACATGAAATATAAAGATTGAATATGAATATGTTTTTTATGGTGATTGTATATCATGCTTGCTCATTTATGCTAATTTCTTGCTTATTTATAACATATTTTGTATATGTGAGTCAGTTGTCAATGTGG